AATTGCTCAAGTTTTGAACTGAAAAAAGTCATGCTCTTTTCGTTACCATTGGCTCAAACATGACGCGACCTTCTTGCTCAGATCTGAGGAACAAACTGAGCTAAAGCGCTCATTTGGATAAAGGATTTAACAATACTGTGATAATAACTAGTGAAACCGCACTTGAGGAATACTAGCAGTTTTCACATAAAAAATGGTATCATTTTTTTTTTAGTTTCACGCGGTTTTGAAGAAATTGGCATTTATATTGAGATATCTCCCAAAACTGCTTGTTGTTCGGTTCAACAGAGAGGGTTTGGGTCGAATTTTGTCTGATTCTGCCGCGTTAATAAAAAAATCGTCAAATACGTGTAGACACAAGCAAAATAAAGACTTTATTTTCAAAAAATCCACGGTCGCAAACTGGGAAAGCTGAAATTTTGATTTTTTAACTATTTAGTTAATAATGAGTTTTATTTAACTGAAAAATTTTGGTGAATTTTCACACAGTCGACAACCGAAGCTGCAAATGGATAAAAGCACATTGAGCATTTCATTTTCAAAATTTCCTAATTAATCAACCAGCACAAATGAAAAAGTGCTCGTTTTTTTCGTTGAATGAAGAGGATTTGGGTCCATAAGCGCTGAAAGTTTCACTAATTTTTAATTATACCTGATTTGTCTCGCGTTAATAAAAAAATCGTCAAATAGACACAAGCATATAGTAAAGACTTTATTTTCAAAAATCCATGGTCGGAAACTGAGAAAGCTGAAATTTTGATTTTTTGACTGGTTAATAGAGAAAACTCGACACTTCAAACTCGGAACGTCTCATTGGACTGGAAAATTTCTGCGATTTTTCACACTATCGCGTATTGAACATGCAATTAAAAAAAGGATCTAAAAATCTCTAAAAGCTAGACAAATGGTCGTTATATCGTTTAAAAGAGAAAACTGGACTCTGTAAGTTCTAAAAATATCATTCAGTGAGCACCAAAAATTTTTAGGTTAAAAACGGTGGCAGAAAAAGAGGCGTCATTAATCCATAGCCAGAAAAAATGGCTCAAAAACTTACAAAATCTGCTCAATCAATACGTACATAGATACAAAATCAAAGTCATGCTCTTAGTGTGACCGTCGGTGCAAACATTACATCGATTTTTTGGTCATTTCACAGGAACTATCGGGGCTAGAAAGCTTCTTTTTGTACCAGTGGGCAGAAAATGAAATAACACAGTTCTTGCACAAACTAAAGTTTCAATACGTTGTTTGTGTTTTGTTCATATCTCATGAACCATTAGAAGTACACCTGTTGGTTTTTTTTTCGTTGGATCGAGAAATAAACACTTTGTACACTAGAGGGAACTCCGTTCAATAGTTCACTCAATAGTGAGATAAATTTTAATATCACACACAGAAAGTGACTAGTCGGTGTCATAATTTACCAGAATATGATCCACCTTTTAATTCACTTTCCAGACCAGTTTCTTCACTTTTTGGGGTGAAATAATCCGATTTTCCCAAAAACCCGAACGCACGCCATTCGCGAATAATCCTCAATAATTTAGAAGACCGACGACGACAAAAGAGATGCGCTCAAACGTAACAGAGACATCGCAAATCGTCTTAGCCGCGTCCACTTTCTGGAGTCGTCCGACCTTATTTTCCAGATCCGCGACATAAAGTGTTTGAATTTCCATTTCCACTGCAGCAGCCGGACAATCTTGTTGACGTTAAAGGCATGCGAATTTTATTCGGAATGTGGCATGGCTGGAATGCGAAATTTCGCAATGGAAATATCGATTCGGACCCGAACGACCCGCACTGAATTTAGTTGTTTAATTTTCTTTTGCCTTTGGCGATCACGCCCAGTTTCGTTTACCTCCGTAATATTGGAAATCCGGCGGCAAATTATCCGCTTGAGTGTAATTTAAGCGAACAATGTCGCTTTTCAAGCGACACTTGACATCGCCATTTTTCCATGTTCCATTGCTGACATGCCGGATGTTGAGTGTCTGCGCTCCATCTGCTCAATTCGATTTGCTTTGTTCAATTATCGGTGCCATTGGCAACGCATTTCATATAAATGTGGAGGATTTTTAACCGTTTCAGTCTCTAATCTTATAAATTGCGGGAATTTGAAAAAAAGGTTGTAAATCTGCGGGTGTTTCGCCAGCTAGAAAACTCACACCCTTCATTCATTTGTTAAGCTTCGAAACCACTCGGCTAGATTACGGTTTAGATTCGAGCCGAGGAAAAGAACGTAAATGGCCCGGATGAAAGACCACATTCGTTACTCAATAGCAAGCCCATTACTTGCTGAAAATGCCATCTTCCGGGCGAACACACCGAAAAATAACGAAGATAAATATTGGCAAATATCTAGAAATAAAATCCGGGCGAAGTTCGAAAGTTGAACGCATCATTAAGCAGCCAGAAACGAAGAGAAATGTTAAAAAGACGCCTGGTTTTTTCCGGGTTTTTTCTTGTTGGTTTAGAAATCGATAGTTTTCCGGCGAGGGGAGGTTAGTAACAAGCTGTCCGGAATCGCTCGTTGTTGCATATTTTTACATAAAATCGCTACCCTGGAAATGATAATGAACTTTCCGGATTAGTATTAGATGAAGCAGGCGAGCGGGAATTTCCCCGAAGTGTTCTCTCCCGGATTTAAATTCGCAGAAAACTCTCTTACAGGATTATCGACAAAGGAAAGAATCCTTTGTTATTCATGCGGCACCTTCGGCGAGAGATTTATAAAAAGGTGAATACGAAATTTGCTTTTTCTTTTCAGTTTTCTGCTCGCCTCGAATTTAAATTTTATTACATTAAAATATGGCGCCTAATAGAAAGCGTTTTGAATTTTAAAACGGTTACTTTCCTACCTTTTATCGAGCAAATATCCGGTAATTAAAGTGGAACTTCTTGAACGATTTCCCCCCCAATTTGGCCCAAGAAGTATGAACAGAAGCCACTTGAATCCATGCAGAAAAACGTCTTATAACCAACCGTGTTCTGTGCATTGAAGATGTGAATGCTTTGGAAATATTTCTCCCAATAAAACTTAAAATTTCCTCATTAAAAGCGTGATTACGAAAGCTTCGAATAGACAAGAGCGCAGTGAAGACTCTTTTTTTTAATTTTATAGTCGAAAACTTCAAATCTCGTCGTGTTTTTTCGATAAGTATTTAATACAGAAAATGTTGTACTATGAATTAAGAGTCTCACTTGACACAACATTTTCCAGGATTTTTCAGGATTTTGCCAAACAAGGAGCTGCAAATAGACAACACAGCATTGAACGTTTTATTTTCAAAAACTCCTAAAAAATAATCCCCTGAAAAGCTGAAAACGTGCTTGTTACCACCTCCATTAATAGCAAAGATTTGGCTCTATAAGCTCTGAAAATTTGACTCTTTCCCATGTTTTTTTTATTTTTTAAGGGGTTCTTCACATAGACACAAGCACAGTGATTTTTTTAAATTTGTAGGTTGGAAGCCGGAAAAGCTCAAACTGTGATTTTTAGACTGCTTAATGTAGAAAACGTGGCACTTGAAACTAGGAAAATACCATTTAATCGAAAATTTCTGCCACTTTTCACACTTGGAAAAGCGAAGCTGCAAATGGACAAAAGCGCACTGGATATTTTATTTTCAAAAATTTCTCATTAATAGACCAGAAAAGCTGAAAAAGTGCTCGTGATCTGCTATAATGGGCCGAATTTGGTTCCATAAATTCTGAAAGTTTTCCTAATTTCGCAATTTCCTCTGATTTCTCTATGATTAATAACAAAATATTCATAGGCACAAGCATAACCTGAAAAATTTATTTTTCAAAATTTTTGTATTAAGAAAGCAGGAAAACTGAAAATCTCTCGTTATCCCTTTTAATAGAGAATTTTGGCTCTATAAGCTCTGAAAAATTTTAGTCATTTTGCGATTTTTGCCACGTTAAATGCAAAATCTTCAAATAGACACGAGCACAGTCAACACCCTATTTTGGAAAAATCCTGACTCAAAAACCAGACAAATTTGAACTGTGCTTTCGACATTATTTACCCGAGAAAACTTGGCATGATCAACAGGACAAGTTTCATTTGATTGGACAACTTCTGCGATTTTTTTCGCATTGACAACTGGAGCTGCAAATAGACAACAGAGCATTGAACATTCCATTTTCAAAAGTTTCTAATTAAAAAACCAGATGTAGACAAATCGTCGTGGCACTATTTAATAGAAAGAAGAAATGATAAGTTCTAAAAACGTCATTCAGCTGAGGATTTTCTCTGAATTTTGTCACGTTGAAAAGTCAGGCTCTAACTAGACGAAGTCCACTGTCACACAGTGGACACCTGAATCTCAAAAAATTCTAGCTGAAAAGCCCTCAAAATTAGAGAGGCTCCGCTTAGCTCATATAATAACGAAAACTTGCCTCTACAAGCTGTAAGAAGCTCGATCAATTTCTTCCACTTGAATTAGATACGCACAACATTTAATAAATATCGGAGCCGCATATCAACAACAGCAGAGCGAATATTTTAGTTTCAAAAATTTCTCAGTTGAAAACGATAAAAGCTAAAGCCCCGATACTTTCCTCATTTAATAGAGGAAACCTGGATCTATAAACCGGGAAAGTGCTAGTAAATTGGCACTTTTCTCCGATTTTTCACGCATTTAAACCTTGCTGCAACACGACAAGTGTGAAGTGAGCACATTGTTGCAAAAAATTCCTAAGCAAGAACAACAAAAGCCAATAGGATTAGGTTAATTTAATAAGGAAAACTTGGCCCTGTAAATCTTGTTAAATAAAACTAAGCTGGTAATTTTTGGCTTGATTTTTACCAGAAAAGTTTACTTCATATTTAAATATTCCTAAGTAAAAATCCAACAATTCAGTTTAAACTGGGCAAACATTTCCTGAAGTTGCATCCAGGCGGCTGCAAAAAAAAATCAGAATTCAAGTTTGAAAAAAATAGATTTTGTTTTTTTTAAGTTTTAAGTGTTTAATTGTTCATTTTGTTTAAGCAACAGAGACCCGACCTGCCTCGTTTGCTACAACAGATGCATGCTCAGCTACCAGCGCACGCTGCGCCCCCAATTCCTATGATGCCCCATCCGAGCTTAGGGGGTGCACCCCCCAGCTCGGCTGCCGGAATTTTGGGGCTATCGGGGGCGATGCCCGCCCAACATTCGCTCAGCATGTTGGCAGCGAAACCCGACCTACACAGATCGGACGACGTCAAATCGAATAGTGGTAAGTCGGTGTTTTATTCACTTGATAAATCATATTTACCGAAAAGGGAAGTTCACTGTAGTGTGAAAAGCACTTGGGGATGAGAGCGAACGGTAATTCGATTTGTTTTATGCGGGCATTATCTGGAATGATAGCCGGTAGGGTTGGGCCCTCCTAAACACCCTTGAGCGTTCTGCGTCCCTTTGGAAGCTGGATAATCAAATGGTAAATCACGGATGTGATTGTTGAAGTCAAATGGGAATGATATTTGTTCTACCTGTTTGAAAAAATTGTTTAGACGTGAGCCGAAGGTTTTGAAGGCATAAGTACATCTTCTACAAGCTTGCCTTGAAATGCAATGAAATGGCAAAATTCCAAGTCTCTGCTTGTTCAGGTTTTAAAACCCTGGTTTTTTTTTGACGACTGTAAATTTTCGTCTTAGTCGCGCTTGGTTCTAATTTTGAACACTCTAAAAAATTAGTGTTTTATTTGATTGGGCTAAATTTTGGCGCAAAAGGAGAGTCATGTGTCTTTATTGTTCAGGTTTTAAGACCCTGGTTTTTGGACGACTGTGAGTTTTCGTCTTAGTCGCGCTTGGTTCTAATTTTTAACACTCTAAAAAATCAGTGTTTTATACGATTGGACTAAATTTTGGTGCAGAAGGAGAGTCATGTGTATTTATTGTTCAGGTTTTAAGACCCTGGTTTTTTGACGACTGTGAGTTTTCGTCTTAGTCGCGCTTGGGTCCTATTTTTAACACTCTCTAAAAAAAGTGTTTTAATTGATTGGGCTAAATTTTGGCGCAAAAGGAGAGTCATGTGTCGTTATGAAATGAGCAAAATTTCAAGTCGCTGCTTGTTCAGGTTTTAGAACCCTGGTTTTTTTTTACGACTTCTCTTTTTGACGTTTTTGTCTTAGCCGCGCTTGGGTCTAATTTTTAACATTCCCTGAAAAATCAGTGTTTTATACGATTGGACTAAATTTTGGCGCAGAATGAGAGCTATGCGTCTTTATTAAATAAACGAAATCCCAAGTCGCTCCTCGATCAGGTTTTGAAACCACGGATTTTTACTTGGCGGCTTTCCGTTTTCATTTTTGCCGTTCTTGACCCTAACTTTTAACACTGAAAAATCAGTTCTTTATCGGATTGGCCTATATTTCGCTCTAGAAAGAGAGTCGATTTTCTACTTGAATTCGGTGTGTCATTCGCAAGAAAAATCCATTAGCGCCTATTTAATGGCACACGTTTGACTGTATCGGACCGAAAACGAATCCCACTTTATTGGAACTAATAATATCGGCGAAATGGCCATTTAATTCGCGAAGCTTAATTGATTATTTAATTGCTGATTAATTTTTTGGTATAGTTTTATATGTTCTGATCGGTTACGCGCATTTAATGGCGCTTTTTCTATCAGGGGACTTTTTTATTGTTAATTTAATGACAATTAATTTTAAAAAGACTCAACATGGGTTTTTTGAAACGAGAAAACGTTTCTTTTGATGCGGTTTCGACCGGACGTTTTGCTTTCATATGCAGCAAACATTATCAAACGGGATGAGCAGAGGCCAAAAACGTCAAGAGAATGGAAATATACTGAGTGTTCTTGCCAGTGAACCGTCTCTGTTTCTCTGTCTTAAATTAGTGAGTTTACGAGCTTTTTCCCGGATGAAATATCTTTTATATAAGTTTTTTATTTAACCTGCTTTTTCATGCCGCTGAATTTTTCACTGTATACTTAAGGGTTTATCAGTGTTGAGCGTAAGTTTCAAATTTTTCAATGTTTTACTTGGATCGTTGTGTTTTTTTCAAGATTAGTGGAAGCAACTCAATAGACTCATTGGAAAGGAAGTTGAATAATTTCCAAAATGTCAACCTGCATATTGATGGTATTGCAATTTCTAGTGCAAATCTAAGGGTGTCTGCTTTCAATCTGTGAAACTTTCAAAGCGTTAGCTGCTCTACTTTTCATCTGGTGGAGTTTTAAAGGAAACTCGAGAACGTTTAAGGGGTTGTGTGTGAAGCAAAATCGAAAAATTTTCCAAAAATGAGCCTCATCATTAAGGGAGTCCCAATTTTTTCAAATAACTTGAGGGTGCTTGTTGTGTATTGTGAAAATGTTTCAAGCTTCTAGTTCCGTTAGTATGGATGCTGTACCGAATGGATTCACGAGCTCAACCTGCACGTTTGCGAGATTAATATGTTTTATGTACATTTAATGGTGGGTGAACTCCATTCTGTGAAAAATTGAGAGCTTTAAATGCGCGGTTTCAGAGGTTGTGAATTTTTGAATAAACCAGAGGCGTTTTAACTGGCACTGCAAAGCAGAGTTAAAAATTTAAAAAACTGTACCAAACTACATTTGCTCAGTTTAGAATTTTTCATGTGCATTTAAGGGTGTTTGTCTTCTTTTGTGTCAGAACCAAATTCAATATTGTGTCAAAAATCAACCTGATCAATGCTGAGGTTGCAATTTGTGCCATTAACTTAAGGGTGCTTGATTTATATAGGGACAATTTTTCAAAACTCTATCTTATCGTCCCCAGTTTGGGGACGATGTGATTTAAAAAAAAAACGTTTATAGAACTTTGGATATTTATGGCAAACCAGAATTCTGTAATTGATAAAGTTGCCAGTTTTTACTGTGCATTTAAGGGTGCTTGACTTCTCTTGTGTGAACATTTATACCCTTTACCTGCTCCACTTCGGACCTGATAAATTGGCGCAACTCAAGTAGTGATTGTGAAGTGAAATTGAACATGTTTTTTTAATCCAGCCGTTTATTGCTGAAATTGCCACTTTATCCATGCGTTTAACGGTGGGGGAACACTTTGGAAGCTCTCGCTGCATTATTTTGAACGCTGTACATTTTCTCGAAGTCACTTAAAAGATTCATTTATAAACCGGTAAAATTATCAAGAGTAAATCAAAGCGTCTACTGAAGAGTTACGATTTTTAATTTTTTAAGCATTTAAGGGTGCTTGCGCACTATTGATTGAACATTTCAATCGTCTAGCTGTTCTGCTGCCCAGAAATATAAACGGTTTTACTGTTAACTAAAATTCGAGATTTGGTCAAAAATCGATTTGGCTATTGATGGAAGTGCAATTTTTACTCTTCCTTTAAGGGTGTGTGCTGTTTTATTGTGGGAATTTTTCAAACCTTTAACTGCACTACTGCAGACACTATCAATTCGAGTATTTGAATGATTATGAAAATCAGTCCCTGCAATGTCGGGATTGTAATTTTAATAATGAGCTTAAGGGTGCTTGCTCTATGTGACAGCAGACTTTTAAAGGTGTAGCTACTTTAAAATCTTAAGAAGATAACCTGAAGAAACTCCAGAGATTCATTGTCAAGCCGAAGTCAGTATTTTTCTGGAATTCAACCTGCGTATTGGTGGAAATGCTAGATCTGCTAGAGAGTTAAGGGTGGCTGCTTTATGTTCTGAAAATGTTCTCATTATGTAGCTATCGTGTTTTGGACTTTGCGGTTTTTAAAAGTATTTTGTAAAATAACTGCAGATTTTCTTTGGAGAGCGAGTTTAGGACTGGAAAAAATGTATAAAATCTACTTCATAATGGACTTATGATTTGGACTATAAACTGCTATGAAATGACTATTTCGTAAATTAACTCCAGACTTCCATTGTAAACCGTAGTTTCGTATTAAAAAAAAACAGGAACCTTCCGAATGATGGATTTGTGGTTTCGACTGTAAGCTTAAGGTTGCTTGCTTCATATTGTGTGAAAACCATCAACTCTGCAGATGACAATTCTTCAAAAAATCTTCAAATTTCCATTGTAAAACATTGTTTCTGTTGCAAAAAACACGAACCGACCGAATGGTGGATTAACCTTACAATTAACGTTGCTTGCTCTATGTCGTGTGAACATTTCCACCCTCTAGCCGCCCGAGTTTGGAATTGATGGTAACTTGTCGAAAGTTGCGCTAGATGCTGTTTGAGGGCTGTTTCCCAGAGATAGAAACGAAAATTCCGCTAATTGTAAGTTGGGCAGCTAAATGTGCATCCTCCCCAATGTTAAGCGACTCCAAATTAATTATATCGCTCTCCAGCCATGGAGGTGCTATAAGCCCGACTCAATTAGCACGCCGGAGATATTCTGGAGAGTCAACGAGCTGTCAACAGACGAACCGACTTCCACAGGGAGGGAATTGGAGAAGAATTCAAATTGCCTGAAGGATTTCATTGGGATCGATGACGAGAAGTGTTTGATGGGGTGGAAAAAGTCTCCATTCCACGATATGGGGGAGCAGATAGAAAAAAATCGAAACCCAGCCAAACAAACGATTAAAGCGACGGTTGCCACAGTGGCGCAATGCAATCCAACCCTGTTATCCTGGATAAATCCCGGGTGCATTCCAGCCGTGTCTCCCGATTATTCTATAAGGAGTGCATTGGGGTGAAACAAGGAGTGCCTCGCTCTTTCCACAATGATTCTCCAGGTTGGCATGACAACATTCGAACGCTCGCTTTTCAATAGCGCCGCGACGTTCTTTGGGGGGTGCCCACCCTTAAGTTCCCCGGCCTCCTTTCGAAAGAACTCGAGCGAATTTATTCCGTGTTAAATGAGAAAAGGGCGATTTAATTGGTAGCTGGATGCGAAAAAAATGCGCCTTAACTGGATTGTTTGGAAAATGCTTTCAGCTGAAGACTGACTGAGTGAAGTGGACACAGTGAAGAATTATACATTGTTACACAGTGAAAGTCCCAAAAGAAAGGTCCAAGTTCAGCGAAGTTTTTTGGAAAAAAGCTCGAAACAGTCAATTTTTCGTTTCTTTCCAAACGCCTTTTTTAATGCTAGATTTATTTCTACAGGGTGGTTCAAAAATAATTTACGATCATCAACTTCATTTTTTCAATTAGTTAATACACAGCTGAATTTTACATGAATTTAGACATTCCTTCTGGGACTCACGGTATATTTATGCCATAAAAATTAATTAAACATTTCCTTTGCCTCTCCTTGCTGTAGGGTACAGGGTGTTGAAATTTTCCTACGCCAGATGTATAGAAGCAGATAATACGGATTAGTGCCTAAGTAAGTTAAATAGAAGATACAGCAATTTCGATCGGGTTTACTGGAAAATCCAGACTATTGAAGTGGAGCGGATTAGCAGAGCTTTTCTCTAGTTATGTTTTCCAAATATTTGCTAAATTGCTCAGAGTGCATGTGGAAAATCCAATTAAACTCAGCGCTTCACATAAAATATCAAATAAAATGCGTCTGAATTATGATTCTGCTACAGAAAAATGCACAAGCATTTCCTTGAAAAATCAAACAAACTTCTTCGTTCTGTTGCATTTTCGTCGCACTCCAAATTCAATTTTGGTTAATTCAAACTCCCGACTAAAAAACGGTTCTTTTAACTTAACAAGCGGAAGCAAAATGAGGAGAGCACAAAGACGAAAAAAAGTAATAGAGAAAAGAACAGACACGAACCGGAGTTTGGGGGCTAATTTGAAGTTCGAAAAGTGGTACAATAATTCTCCTTTTGCGTTAAATTTAGTTATTCCGCTCCATGATTTATGAATTAGACGGCTGGGACGTTGCGAAGGAACGACGCGAAGTGAAAAACTTTTAAATTGTGTCTCAAATTTATGTTCTATAAATTTTGCCGCCGAGAAACCGATAAATTCCCACGCCCTTGCACAGGACGGTTTCAATAAGCTCTCACTGGTATTGGCAGCTTGGAATTTGATTATGGCTTTATGGTGAGGTTTACTGCGAAATATCGCACCAAAACAGCCAAAAGAATCGCGGAAAGTTGTTGGGGAAAACTACCCCAAGACTGAGGGGAGTTTGACTAGGAAGGAGTGGCTTTCACGTCCACCAGCTCATTCTGCGTCCACAAGCCATTCAGTTCATTCTCTGCCTAATTAACAACGGTTCAATGCTTTAAATCGTCAATTCAAGATCAGAGTTTCGGGAGTTTGAGCGCATTAGAAAACGGGCGGTTTTGTACTCCGAAAACTTAAATTATCAACTTGAACATTTGGTTATTGAAGCCTGATGCGAGATTTCTCAATTTCTGTTGAAATCGGGTCGGTTTTGGCAATTTACTTCAAACATTTGCAGCTGAGATAAGTCTGCATTTTTTAGCTTACTTAAAGAGAAACGTTCGGTTTTATTGAAGGTTTTCGGGAAAAATGCGCAAATCTGGACATTTTTTCGAAATAGATTTAAATTATCTCCGATCGAAACTTGATTTCTTTATAGAGTTACCTGACTCATATCACTCTTTCTATAAGAGAGACGTCGTTTAGACGAGGAAGTTTCGGTTTCAGGTCATCCTCAGGGATTTTCTAGTCAAAATCTGGAATATTTTTTTAAACCAAATAAATTAAATTGAATCCATTCTACATTTAAGCCATTTAAAGAAAAAATGTGATTATTGAGAGCATCAAAAGATAAATTTCCAGCTTCCAAAACAAGGATTTTTCATGGAAAAATTTAAAACAGACGTTTTTCAAACTAGTCCAGATGGCAACAGCTCCAGATGGAATTCATATGATTTGTTTGAAGGTTCATTCAGTTTATCTCAGGAATTTTTCCAAAACAGGCAAAAGATGCCGACTTTTTAACCTTCTCAGGTATGGAGGAAAATGAAAAATATTGATCTTCAGAGAATAAGTTTTTACGTAGAGATTCTCCAGATGGTTTTGGAAAAATATACAACTAAACGTGTCCTTTAAACAGCTGCAACTAAATAAGTGGACTGTCTAGGAGAAAGAATTTGCTTGTGATCACTAAGTAAAGCAGCGTGTTGTATATTAGGAGAAAAGTCGGTTTTTTGACACTTTTTAAGGTTACCTATAAATTTAACGTTCTCGCGCCAATGGCAGGCATTTCAATAAAATTATTAACTTCTAATCTAAAGCGAGTAACAACAGGAAACTTCTACAGTCCATGAAACTTCCAGTCCAGACTCTTCATTAAAAATTCGTCAATTCTAACTTAGAGCAAGTAGCAACTTGAAACTTTCACATTAGATAAAAAACACTTTTACCTCAAAACCTTCGGAAATTTGTTGAAATTAGACCAGATGCTAATTTCGCAGCCTCTGTGAATGTTCATAATAAAATACTGGTTTACACAACTGTAGATTCGTCTCCTCATTAAAAAATTGTCACTTCCTACTTAGAACGAGTAGCAACTTGAAACTTTCACTTTAGATAAACCTTTATAAATTGTATTAAAATGCCGTCAGATGCTGATTTTTGCGCCTTTTGTAAATATTCATCTAAAAACTTAGGTTTTCACACAGCTGCAGACTTTATTAAAAAGTCGCCACTTCTAACCTAGAGCGAGTAGCAACTTGAAACTTTCAAATTATATAAAAAACACTTGGATCTGAAAACCTTAATAATTTCATTGAAATCACTTCGAATGCTAATTCTTGCCTTTTCGCGACATTCCAATAAAAAATGCCAGCTTCTAATATAGAGCATGTAGCAACTTATGTTCACAGACTATAAAAGAGACTCGGCTCTTAAACCTCCGAGATCATTCGTATAAGTTGCCGATTTTTGTTTTATTTCGGAATGTTGATTCAAAAATTATAACTTATACGCCACTGCAGGCTCTTCAATAAAAATTCCTAGCTTATATTTTCGAACGAGCAGCAACTTGACGCTTTCAGATCTTGAATATGAAACCCCTAAAAATTGTATTCAGATCGCATCTTTATGCGCCTTAAAACACCCATACCACATCTACCACACACCCATAAAAATTGTAGCTTCTAATCAAGAGCAAGTAGAGCTTTGGAATTTTCTCAGTCTACCAGACACTTAAAACTGAAAGAGTTCATGTAAAGCGCCTCAGAAGCAATTTTTTACCCTTTTTGCAAATGGTGCAATCGTTCATATCACCGTATAGTTTGGTCGAAAAGTGAAATTAACCAAAGCAGCATAAAATTGAGTAAGTGACAACTTACCAGAACGGATGGTCTAAATAATAAGCCAAAAAAATTGGGCATTTCTTCAACAATTGTCATCCTTCAAGTTACTAATATCTGATTTTTTTTCCAGGAATGAACTCAAATGAAGAGCGACATGTAAGTAGAAATTCTTTAGCAATTTTACGCGCTAATCAATCAAATAATGGAAAATCCATTAACTTTCCCATCTTTCACGTGTAGGTACTAAACTGGTAGCACAGTTACGTGTATGGGATAAAACTTATTGGGAATTTTTCTGTTTTCTATGGCCTAACATGAGGCTTTTATTCAATTCGCATTTCGTATTAATTGCGGGCTACTAATCGGGCCGTTATTTCCACATCGAAAACAGCACCCTTACAAGAGCGATTTTCCTCACAAGTGTTTTAGCCCGAACATTTTTGCTCATAATCCGCTGCCCCTCGGAAACCGGGCACAAATTTTGACATTGTCATAATTTAATCCCCGGCTCCCGACAGTTCATAACTTCTTTTTTTTCGTTCGCACGGCAAAACTAATTACCAACTATAAAACTCGCAGTCGGCAAAATAATCGCCGAGTTTAACAGTTGGGATTTCCACAATAATTTAGAAAGTCGTCCATTTGCTGGAGTAGAAAATCGCTTTTCCTTATGATTGTTGCATGGGAATTAAGAAACAGTTTCTGGTGAACCACAGTTATCAAAAATGTAGTTAGTAAAAATTTAATTTTTGCCAATTTTCTGGCTTACGACCCTGTGCGCCACCCCTGTTGTAAATTCCATTAAGGGAGAAAAACAAAGAACGGCCCTTATTACTCATCGCTTAGCCGGTCTGGGACGGAATTAGTTTTGAAGTTCAGTTCGCAAATAAATTAAGAGCTGTAATTATTTTTACTCCCGGCTTGTTTCCTCGTTTCCTTCATATTTCGAAGCGGATTATTGTTTGTTCTCTTTCATTTTTTCTCCATTTGAAACGACGATTTTCCAGTGAAATTGCGACCTGAAGGCAATTAATAAGCACTGATTAATTGATTTCAATCAGCAGAACCGATAGTTTTGAATTGCCTCTTTTCAGCTATTTAATGTAGCGAGGAATTTATATAGAAGTATTAATATACACGAGAGGAGGAAACTTTAAAGCGTCCTCATTCGTGCTCGATACATAAATTATTAGCTAAGTAGGTATATGGAGACGGAATCGATAAATAATCACATTCAGATTGATGCAGCTAACGAGCTAAATACCCTATTAGTATTGCGGCTTTTAATGCAATTATTGGACGAGCAGGACGGAAATAATCGAAAATAGTTATGCAAAGCTAAACAAAGTAATCGTTGAATAATTAATTCGAAAATTATTAATAATAAAGTTACCGGTTAACGCTTTTCAATTAACATAATTTACCTTGTGCGGCAAATCAAGCGGATTCGCTCACCCAAAATCCCATTATTAAAGCAGAGCGTATTTGTTATTGATTTATTGTTGTTGATATCATTATTAGACGATTTGATGCGCATTTTCTCTATGGTTTAGTCGGTGTGGCAACTATTTGCCACACAATGCGTTAATTCGGTTTGTTTCTATTGATTTTACTGCCCGCAAGGGTTTGAGGGTGTGCAAAAAATGACTGAAGCTAAACTCTTCAATATGAAAGAATGAAAGCACACCGTAGGGCGTAGTTAACAGCACCTTTAAATGGTTGTAACGACCTATTAACTTTAGTTTTAATTATAAAGTTGCTCTAATGAAAAACTCCAATTATAAGCGTCTGGTTCGGAAGCAGAAATGTTTGATGTGTAATTTAAAACATGTTTATCTACTTCCAACAGCTTATTCTGGAAGTTTCCCAGTCTGGAATGCACCTTGAAATTGCTAGAAATTCTTCCCGAAGAAAGACCAATTTCTATGTGTTAAAATCTAATTTCTGGTTAAAGCCCGATATTCAGATGTATAAATGATGAACATAATACCGATAATGAACATAATACCGATGATGACCGATAATACTATGTGACAAAACATCGTAAAAGCGTCCCCTGGTTCCGTTACTCGTTATTGGATTACCAGCGTCAGTCAGCGAGGTAAACATCTTATGCAGGGTGAAATTTCGGGAAGCTGCCATTAGACCGAATGGTTTTTTCAATTGCGCTTTTTGTTTTTCCACATTTCCAGCATACGCTAGTAGAACTGATAAAAAACACGCTGAAAGCGTCTGGATTTATTCAATTTTAAGGACAATTTGTCCAATGGAAGCATGTTTTGCTCAGAAGACTTGAATGTATCTAATTTCTTCCTCACAAGTAACATGGGAAAAACCCACAAGCCTTTTTGTCGCTTAACAGCAAAATACCTGAAGCAGGTTTAAGGCTTGCTGAGCACATTTTTCAAAACAAATCCGTATGACATTTGCACTTTTGACACTTTTATATAATCAATTGCAGAAAACGTGGGTCTTCCGAAGTGAAGCAAACGTTTCTGCACTTTTAGGGGCAAACGCATATTGGAAACCCTTCTGAGGTTCCCCAATGGATTCTGACTAAACATGGACACAAAATGGACAGATTTTTATCCAGACTTCTCTGGATAAAAATCTGTCTATTAAAATATAATATAATATATACAATAATTAAAAACCTGAAGAGGTTTTTAATTATTTTCATCTTAAGCAGCTTCAGAAAACTTGTCGACTCATTTTCGAGTTAACAGTAAAAGTAAAAAAAAAAAAAAAATTTTTGTGCAGCTTGAAAGCGAAATGGCAAAAACGGTTTTAAGGTTTTCTGAGCATATTTTCGAAAACAAATCTACCAGTTGCACTTTTCAGAAGTTTATAAAATCAGTTCTTCAATACCTTACAAAATTTTCCAAATTTCCGGGATCTACCTTTAAGAATAATTTCTGCAATCTGCAAGAAAGTGAAAGAAGAAAAGTGAGTTTTTGACAGGTGAATCAAACGTTTCTGAGCTTTTGGAGTGAAACATATATCAGAAAGCTTTCTGAGGTTTCCCGATAAATTCTGACTGAACATGAACGATCACAACAAGCTTTTAAGTCTCTACTCGACAAACTGCAGGCTTTTTTGAGTTTTTTTTCTAGGCGGTTGCGGTTTTCTGAGTAAGTTGATGCGCGACAAGAAGGGACAATAGAACCAGCTTCTGAGTTCTAATTGAACAGCTTTTCTCCATACTTCGGGGTTTGAATGATTTGCCGGCTGACTTAATCGGCTTTAGGAAATTTTTCGAGTTTAATAGTAAATAATGGTTCGAAAGCCTTCTGACTTGAAATTACATAATATTTTCCCCACAAAGCACAAAGACTAAACCGCCAAGCTGTTTTCAGCGTAAAAGCAAAATGCTTGAAACGGAAAAAAGGTTTTCTAAGCAGTATTTGGCTTCAACGTGGTTTACTAGCCACCAAGCGTTTTGGAAGGGAATACAACAAGGTTTACAGTTTTCTAAGCGCACTTCTAAGCATAGTCTTTCCACAAACATGATTTTTCGCATTAACACATTAAGATAACAACATAACTCCCAAAACTGCGCCACGTGTTGAACCTTCTGAGCATGTTTTCAGTCTACAGTAAATTTTCTAGAGTATTCTGAGTTTACTCTTAATAAAGACGATGCTTCTTTGAGTGAGACTTAGGTTTTTAAACTAGTTTCTGAGTAGGATTTTCGACGTTTTGTCGTTGCTAAGAACTTTAAAAGATCAATTGCCAACTTATTTCTTATTGACTGGAAATATGCAACGTTCACAACGCAAGCATACAAACTCTTGTATGTCTTCTCAGCCGATTTAGAGCTGAAGCAAATAGAACGTTTTTTTTTTTAATTCTCAATAATCCCTGCGGCTTTTGAGTTCGGGATTCTTTGCAGCCATTCAGAACTAAACCGTTTTTATCGATTCGAAAGCAAAAATTCTATGTTTTCTGAGCAAATTATTCTTGACAGTCACATGCAAACTTCCACTTTGAAGGAGCTAATAAAGCTTTCTATTTAACAATTAGCTGATTTTCTTTAGTATGCGAGAACAAACAAAAATGGAAAATGAGTGTCGGGTGAATGAACATGATTTGTTGAAGAATGAAGGCATTGATGAGCCATTGATTCAGCCAAAGCATCGATGTTGCTCACTGAGAGCCGCATGAGATCATTTAATAAATTTACATGAAAATCTACACTTTTTCGGCAAATTCTCATTTCGTCCTCACGACGTTCGTGTGCAGAAGAAGGGATCTAATTTTTCAAACCTTAACTCCCTCCAGCTTCGGAGCTTGCAGCTCAAGTAGAAGTTATTGGAATATTTTAAAGATTAAATTCTCCAACTGACTTAAAAGCTCCAACAAAGGCAGCTTTAAATATCGTCTTCTGATTAAAGCTCGAGCTACTGGAGGAGATAATGGAGAGCCTCCAGTTGCCGTTTCTGATTGATCGGATCCAGTGGATATTCATGCACCCTGAAAGGGCTAAAAATATCGTTTGAATACTTCTCAGCTTATGTGAAAGGTGAAAGATAGAAAACTGAGATGGTTTTGCCTCGAGCTGGTAATTAGGGTGATGTATGAAAAATGTGCAAAGTGCCAACTGATCGTTTCATGGTTCATGCTTACAAAGTGTTTCATATTTCACATCATATATCAAGTCATTGTGTCGGTTAAAGTGCCATTCACGTTATTGTTTAAACGAGCTGAGCGCTTAACAAATTAAGCTATCAGGCCGTTTCTTGGACGTAATCGCAATCTATCTGGGCCCACGCAAGCTACAAGCGGCCGACGACGATAAGATTGCATGTTGATCGGTTTCGGAATGACCGGTATTGAGGAATTACTAAACAAACGGGTATTTATTAAGCCGCACCGTAATCCGTTTGTTGGTCGAGCGTGAAATTAATTCGCTCCTTTAAAAACCGACCTCCGCAATGGGTAATTCGTCGAGTTAATGCCAGTTCACGCCCGACAAATCCGTAATGGTCCATGAAACGCGGGCGTTGGTGGAAGGAAAGTACAAAAGGAAAAAGTGCCGCACGCCACTGCTGCAAACCACTAGTTTCCCGACCAACGGAATCAAATTACATCGCTATATCTAAAAGGCGAAGCCGCAGCTGCTACGTAACCTCAGCTGCGGTTGCCATGTAAAATTC